CCAAATGAATTAGAATCACCTCCCATTTACTGAGACCTTCAGTTTGCATCTGAATCACCTGGGGCACTTCTTAAAAAATGCAGATTCCTGGGCTCTGACTTCAGAAATTCTGGGTCAGTAGGTTGGGGCAGGGCCCAGAAAACTGACTTTTTAGTAGGATGTAAGGGATTTTAAGACCACAGCTGAAAAAGTACTCATTAATCTTCAGAGAGACTTATAAGGTCGTGAGGTAGCACTCTCTAAGATGGCTCCCTGCCTCCTGGTATCCACACCCCGGTGTTGTCCCCTCCTGTATTGAATCATGGTGGGCCTGTGTGGCCAGTAGAATACTGTGGACGTGACAGTGGGGCTTCCAAATCTAGGTTACAGAAAGCACTGCAGCCTCTGCCATGGACACTCTGGGGGAGTCCACTGTTGTGCTGTGAGGACACTCAAGCAGCCCTGTGGAGAGGCCCCCTTGGAGAGACACTGAAGCCCATAGCCAACAGCCAGCACCAACCTGCCAGCCATGCAAGTGTGCCATCTTGGAGACCCCAGAACAGCCTGCAGATGACTGTAACCCTGGTTGGTGGTTTAACTATAACCGCATGAGAAACCCACCAGCCAGAACTCACATATTCCTGACTCACAGAGATTTTGAGAGATATGTGTTTGTTATTTCAAGCCACTAAGTTTTGGCTTAATTTGTTATGCGGTAACAAACAACTAAGACAAATAGCTACTATTATGACCATATCCATTTTACAGATAAGGAAACCGAGTCTCTGTAGGGACCTAGGATTACCTAATGGTGGAGATTCAAAGGCTGAGTTCAAAGCCAGTGTTTTAACAGAGAAGGTCAGACCATTAAAGAGCTTAATTCTTTATCCCTCTCATAGTGTATAGATGTGGAAACTGATACCTGCAGTAAGGAAGGAAGTCACCCAGGTGGCCTGCGTGGATGGTGTTCCCTGCCTCATTCCCACTGCTCTGGGGTTTGCAGGGGTGGCTTCAGCATCCCAGGGCCTGCAAAAGCTGACCAGTTTCCATAACAACACAAACCTGGTGCCTTGACTGTGGGGAGCTAAGCCTTTAGACTAATCCTACCTGTGGCAGATTGAATTATGTCCCCCCCAAACTCACTGAAGCTTGCATTGTGTCCCCCGAGTTTTATGTATTAGAAACTTGGCCCCTACTGTGTCTGTTGGGAGGTTGGGAAATCCTATTATGGTAATTGAAAGGTGGGGCCTTGAGGAGGTGATTGGATTGTAGGACCATGCCATTGTGAATGGATTAAAAATGGTGGTCAGGCGTGGTTCTGAGGGCTTTAAAAGTAGAGGAGAGTCTGTCTGTCTCTGCTCTCTCTGCTCCACCATCTTGCAGTGTGAGACCTGGGTCACTGTTGCCACCACCAGATGGACTCTGAACTTCCCAGCCTTGGTAAGTGTAAGCAATGAATTTTGTTTTCTTATAAATCACCCAGTTTCAAGTATTTTGTTATAAGCAATAGAAACGGACTAAAACACCACCCCAGTGGTTATCAGCCAGAAAGCCAGGTAAGGTTTGGCTTTGTTCATTCACCAGGAGGTGATGGATGTGGAGCTGCTGCCCCGGTGGGAGGAGGTAAACTAGGAAAGAGGAGGGCGGCATAGGAAGCAAGGGATAGGGAGGCCTGAGGCTCCTGTGGTGGAGTGGGCTCCGCCACTGTCCTTTGGCCCACCATCTCCCTAGGCAGATGGAACCTCCTAACCTCTTAAAAGTACAAGTCTGACTACTGCAACCCCCTGCCTCACACCCTCCATGGCTCCCCAGTACCCTCGGGAGAAAGGTGTATTTCTCACCATGCCCCAAGGTGCTTCACAATTTGGCTCTGGTGTCCCTTCCTTCCCCATCTCCTATCCCAAATCCAGTCTTCTGTGGACTCCCTGTACCACTATGTTTTTCTTTTCTGGTACAGGAATGGAACCCTGGACCTTGGTGTTGTCAGCACCATGCTCTAACCAACTGAGCTAACCACTCACCTGCCCCCCACCCCATGTTCTTATCCCTGTCCCACCTCTTGCCTGTTGTTCCCTCTGCACTCCACCTCTGCTGCTCCTTTCTAACTTTCCTCATCTTTCAGGTGCCAGCTGAGATACCCCTTCCTCCAGGAAGGCTTCCTGGACCCCACTACTTGTGCTCTCATACCCCTCTGTTTCCCCCATCAAAGCACTGAGCATACAATAAGTACTCAATAAATATTTATTAGCTAGACGAATAGTTGCCAGTCACTCCCAACTAGCTCCCTCCTCTCCTCTGCCCACTGATTCAAACTCACCTCCTCCTGGAAGGTCTTCCCAGACTTCTCACTCATTCCTTTCCAGTCCCTCCACTGCCTGCCCACCCGTCCCCTCCCCTCCAGTGCCCCCAGTTCAGAATTCCACATTTCTGTTTTTGTTGCATTTTTCGCTCCAGGGCAGTGACTGCAGGGGGCATCTGCTTTCTCAGGTTCTCAGGTAGCTCTGTGTACCAGATTCCACTCCTGCACCCCATGTCCCTTATTTCTCAAGAAATACATCCTGGGTATTTCTCAAGAGCTGTGAACCGACAGTCCAAAGGGCCTTTGCTTCATTTAAAAAGCAAAGTCCTTGGCTTCATTTAATTCAAATGTTTATGACAACGTTGTGAGGAAGGTGCCATTACTATCATCCCCACTTTGCAACTGGGAGAGGTTTAGGCATTTGGCTAAAATCTAAGGTGGAGCTGGGGTTGAAAGCAGGCAGTCTGGCTCTGAGGAAAGGCTGAGCCACCTTAAATGTCACCCCTAATGGGCTAGCTCAGGAGCTCCAGGGCTGACAGGGGCCTTGGCCCATACCTGACACTACCCCTACCCTGACACCCCCTGATGGGGTGCTCATGCCTCCCAGGGGGCCGTCCTGCTGGGCCTGGAGCAATGAGTTATCCTGAAGTGGAGGTAATGAATAATTTACTTTCCACTGCAAGGACATGTGGAAAAACTGGGTGATCGGAGAGTTTCCAGACAAAGGCAAAAGGTCTGTCTTGGGACGCCTCGTGGCTTTGGTTCATGGGTGAGTAATGCTTAGCGCCACTTCAGGGACTCTCTTCACATCATTGGTCATGGAAAAAACCCCTTCCTGCAGCCCAATGCCCAGACTCATCATGGATTGAAAGAAGCCCCCCACTTCCAACAACTAATACATAAGTCGGGGAGCTCTTACCAGGTGCCACTCACTGTCTTACCTGGTCTGCATAGTGATTATTCTTCATCATGACCCTCTGAGCTGGCTGCTGTGATGCTCCTCCCCACTTTACAGATGCGGAAACTGAGGCCCTAGTTGTACGGCTGGGAAAGGGGCGATACTGCATTGGTCACCAGGAAGCCCCTCCTGGTATTGTCCCATCAGAAGGCAGGGGCACCATGGGCCGGCCCGTGGCTCACTCGGGAGAGTGCGGTGCTGATAACACCAAGGCCCCG